TAGAAAAAGAAGAATAGAAAAAGAAGAATATAATTTATGTGCGCGCATCTCTCCTTTTTCCTGTGACAAATGGAAAAATCCCGGTGTGGAAACCCAAATCGAGGAGAAACCACTTTTAGTCCGTTCGATAACGGGCCGCGACGTAGTGCATCCGCGCACTTATATACGTCGGCTCAGGTTGCTTTGCGCTGCACATGCATCGGTCCGACCGGAGCGACCGACTCTGGTCGCCGTTAAAATTTCCAGTGGCGTAACGTACGACGGAAAACATCCGCCCCCCCCCCCCTCCCTCCCGCTCCGTCCTCATCACTCGTGTCACGTGCTTTTTATCGTGAGATTGAAACCGGAATAATTTTATAGAAAACTGAAGCTCCTAGTTGGAACAGTATGTTCACATCTTAAGAATTAAAAAAAAGAAGTAATTGAAAAATTTAACTTTCTCCACTGTAAAGTGAAGTCTTCTTTAAATTAAAAAAAAAAAAAAATGGATTAAAAAAACTGTTTGCAAATAATCTTTCAATTTTTGCTACTATGCTACGATAAACTGTACTATACATCAATTGTGAATTGCCTTTGTCTCGTATAAATATAAAGATAATTTTCGTATAACAATGGCATTGAAACTTCGACTCATTAAACTGTATCAATTTTCGCCTTTATCGTTTTCCCTTATCTCGAAGAAGTTGATGTGGACGCGTCAGTGTTGCAATGGGAAGAACAACGATAACATACATACTGCGTTCGGCCAATCCACGCAAAAATGCAGACTGTTGCATCGAAAGCAATCGAGAAATTTATTGAATAATTTTGCAATCGGATGACTAGTCCAAAAGTGACTCTTATTTGAGCTTTAAAATTATCATGTGCATTTAATTTTCTTGAATTTTTTAAATTTGAACGAACAATTTTCATTAACTTTACGTATCACTAAAGATTTTTCTGTATCACCGAAAGAATTTCTGTATTTGAAGAATGGACGAGATTACAAAAGCAGTTAGAAAGCACTTTCACAAAACCTATCGCATTGACGATTGTCATAAGCGTGACTTGTCAGTCCGTATCGTTCGCAGGAAAGTTCGCAGATGGTTTCTCGTTCGGAAGGATACGCAAATCGCACAAAGATTTTACTTCTCGCGAATTCTAATCGCACAACTCTCCGCTTAACAATCGAAGTGCGGTAAATTTGCAAATTTCTCACTTAATAATTAGAGTATTTGCTGGTCGAGCGAATATTACAGTTCCATATAAGCGTTTTCGATGCCATTTCGTAACGGAAACAAGGCAAATATTACGCCACTGAATGTATCGAGTGGACGTAACCATAGTCAGGCCTCTGGGTAAGATAATCGTATCGCGTCGCATCGGTGAAAAATATTACAGTGCCGTTCACAGTTTACGAAGAATCATATCATGCATGATCAAAAGAACGCTTTCAGCTATATCTGTTAACACAATACCGATGTTACTTTTGACAGTCACACAACCTAAGTTTGTAAGAAATTTCTATACTTTATCGAACAACACACACAATAACAGTAGAAACTGTGCACAAGAAATTTCCGCGGTGCCTTAAAATAATTCCAAAGTCAAACTCTTCGAGTCTTGAACTCACAATCAGTTTAGATCTTTCAGGGCTCAATTCGCCAGAAAATTTCTTAACTTTAAATTGCGCCACCAAAATTAATCAGTTTTTTTATTGTTATTCGTGCAATCGCATAAACAAGTAATATATATATAACGAAAAACACCTAGATAAAAAAAAATTAAAGAGCGGAGTTCATCATTTTATGCTGACTATTTATCATCGAATGACCTTATTCCTAAGTAGCCTTGCATTTATTTATAGAATAACAGCTGTATGAATCTTCTACATCGGTAACTTATTTCCCGTACAAAGTATAGATTATTAGGCATTGATCGACTCAATCATGTTATGTTTGTCCAATGTTCACGTGGAGTTTTTAATATCTTTTTGTTTATTAAAACCGGTCTTTTTATAGCAAAACGACACGAATACCTATCGCTCGGTGCAACTGCGTGCTTAATCTCTTCTAAATTTTTTTTTATTACCAAGAATTTGTTTAAGAGCACGCAAAAGAATACGTGTAAATATGTAAATCTGCACTCTTTTATCTTATATTTTTTTGCGAATTTCCTTTTCCTAATTGCGAACTTTTTTTTATTAATGTAGAATTTCCCTTCATAAAGACAGATTTCTCTATAATAAAGATTAAAAAGTATAAAAAATAATATTAATAATAAATATAAAGAATAGTACTTTATACACATGTCAAATTTTGCTCTTTTTGTTCAATTAATTAAAGTCCATTATTTCGAATTTTTAAATGCCAACATTTCTTGTATTATTCGTAATTGAGGCAACAATTCTGTAACGCCCTGTACACGCGGTCATTTTGAATTGCAATCTCTTTGCGATTACAGTATATATAAAATGACTTGTAACAATTTTGCACGCGCAAATGGCTGAGGCATCAAAGTTCTACGAAACTTTGGAAAACACGGTTCTGAAATAATTGTTTTTGCGTCAATCATCCATGCATTGTCAACGTGTTTGCACAACAGGTGTGTATATAGATTGTTCCTCTTCAATTTTGTGTATTTGTGTTTGTATTAAATACAATGGGCTTTTAATGAAAATTTGCGTTACACAGATGTTTGTTACACTTTACACAAACACATTCAGTTAATCCTTACTTCACAGAGGAAAAATCGCGAAGAAAGCCAGGCTTAAATTACAGGCTTAAATTACATTCATGTACATATTTTTCTATCTATTTTCTGCGAAATGCGTTAATTTTCTTTCATAGTTTAATTGCATTTCAGTAATTATCAGTGAGAAACGTGTGAAAGAGAAAATAATACTCATAAAGTACTTTTCGCTCTTTTTTTCCTCGGTTGCGAAATCGATCTGATTGTTATAAATAGCAATAAACATGTTTTCATGACAGCATGTATGTATGTTATATAAACTTTAGACACACAATAGCTTATCTTGAAGAATGATGGAGAGAGAAAAACAGTTATCGAAAATACTCGAATGCCATATGTAATTGGATATTTTTGTGCTGGCTTTCAATACGGCTTCTCGTATATTCATTGATAATACTGGTTTATTTTTAGATCCCCCATAACACTTGCAGAGATGGTACAGTTATTCAACGAACGAACAACGAGAATAAACTTATAAACCACCTATCTGTGTGTCGATTAATTTGTTTGTCCACAAAGAAACACGCGGATTTTCGCATTCAGCTGTTTGTTGTAACTAGATCTCGTTTTGCGCAGAGAGAAAATAAAATATTTCCGCTAATTTCTTACACTTTCGTCAATGTGCTAAATATTGGACTTTAATCTCATGAAATCTTTGTTTATTACTAAACTTGCAAATATTTGTATATTACAAAAATTTTAATTTTAACAAACACATAAAATACGATAAACATTGAAGAAAATAATGTAAAGATTGATACAAAGTAAAAAAAAAAATCCTCGAGAGTGTTTTTATTATAAGTTACGTAGCGTTAATTCTCGGAGACTTAAAATGAGCTCGGTTTGACATGATCGATTTCGAAAGCGTACAAAACCTGCGCGCTTCAACTATTTTGCGTCTTATATATCTCCGGGAGAGAAAGTGATTAAAATCTTATGTACTTTATTAACTTTTCACCCTTTCGCTAAAAATACGCGTGCAAAATATTCCGTACGTAACGAAAAACAAAATGGAAAAAATGCCATTCTGCCGTTGAAGTGCAGTATGTTATACAAGAAGCAATGCGGAAGGCAATTTGGCCAGCAAATATACATACAGTCGGCTTTAAATATTTAAGCAGAAGTAAAAAGTATAACAAATATAAATGATTGTAAACATCTGCGAGGCATCAACAAGAATGTAACGACAAAAAATTGCAACGCGTGCGCTATGGCGTATTTTGAGAAGGTGTTTGTCGCATTCAGCGCAACCTGAATCAACACAGAACGCGAACAAAGCTCTCAAAATGTGATCACTCTTTTCAAAAAGCGCACAAAACGAAACGGTTATAAAAGAATACACGCCAGGGATATAATATCCCGCGGTTAGAAAAGCGGATGAGTCGAGAAGTTATATTCACGCTGAGAAAAAATTAAGCGGTGAATGTTCGCGCCTGGCAGCCTTCTCTTTTTCTCGCGAGAGATATTTCAGTTGTGCATAACGCATATTTATAAATTTATTAAATTGTTAATGTAATTATTTGTTATAAATTAATTATGTTGTTTATTAATGTAATTAGTTAGGTCGCAATACGTGTAAGTGAAAATTGCCGCAAAAATAGCTAGCACGAGAAAAAAATTCAAAAGCAGCAGTTTACTGCCGATATTCATCAGACAATTGTTCGCACAGTGCGAAGCAGAAATGTGTTCACGCTTCAAAATGCTGAGCAAATAAAAGAAATATAAACTGAAAGAGATAAATAAATATGGAAACTTTTCGCGTTTATTTTTCCCCAGAATTGAGAATCACGCTTTAATAAATTGTTGCGACAGATATAATTAGAGCTCGTCACTTGGGAATGCACTGATTTCGCTGATATTGCGAGCTGCAGCGTCAAATGCGGAAATGTTAAATATTCAGGTCGATACCTAATGGTTTTAAGAAGCCTGAAGTTTAGAATCAGCCCTATTTACGTATACACGCTGAAGTTGAAGTTTCATCACCGTCATATCACGCGCCGGTCATCGTAAAACACTTTTGCGTCTTAAACTATTTTTCCTTTACTATTTATTTATTTTCTAATTTGATAAATACGGAATACCTCTTTGAACGTGAAAAAAAAAAAAAAGATTTTCAAACTACCGTTAGACAATTGTAATATATAGGACGATCATTGAAAAATCGCTGGCCGGAAAGTGCAATCGGCGTGGAGATACGACGTTTCGCGAAAACGAAAAGTCCGTGGAACGACAGTATATCATTATATTATCACGACTTGTGTTTATCTTACCGCTTCTTGGCTCCCTGTAGATGCCGTAGGGATCATCATCGACGGAGTCCTTGACGTTCACAGCAGAGTCGGCATTCACGTCGTCCGCGTTATCTCCCGTGTCTTGTCTTCCGGAATCCGCGCTGCTCAGGTTGTCTATAATCTCGACCGAGTCGTCGAGATCGTCGACAATTTGGGCGCGACAATCCTCAGTGACATCCTCTATGATCTCGACGGAGTTTCCGACATTCCGATCGTCCACGGCTTGGGCGATCGAGTCTCTGACGACGAGATCTACGATCTCGACCAGACGGGAAGGAATGTTCTGTTGGTTGCCCTGCCAATTCGCTACCTCTGTCAGGGAGTTTGAGAAAACCTCGCCGATGACGATGACATCGTTGTCGCTGTCGGGACTGCCGCTGAAATCCGCCTGATCGTGTTGCTCGTGATAGACGTCGGAGACTTCGAAGTCGCCGCAGCTACCTTCAGAGTAACCGCTGTCATTTTGCTTTTTCTTCATCGGACTCGCGGGAACCGACCGCTCCACGATGCTTTCCACCCCTACGCAAGGCTCGACCCAGGGATCGAAGCCTGGCGCGTACGTCACGATGTCGACGTGTGCAAGGTCAATACTCTCGTCCTGCTGCTGTAGCCTCTTCGTCGAACTCGTGGAAGCCTCGTCCATCGCGATCTTCTCCTCTTCGTCCATCGCAATCGTCAACTCGGGATCCGTCGCTTGCCGCATACGTCACTGTCGCGGCACGTGCAATGTCAGCGCAATTGAAGGTGAAAAGGGGGGGAGGAGGCAGAGGCTAGGCCAGCGATTGACATAAGTCAATCTTTCCGTGTCTCGATCCGGATTCTGTTACAGCCAAATACAACGCCGATTTACTTCCGGAGCCGAATAACCGATCGTGAGTAGCGATTATCCTTCGAAAGTACAACTCGTGCCATCGCTATTCTCTCAATTTCCGGACAAACGATCCCCTGCGTAAACGCACGACACTCGAAGTGTGTTCGTGGAGCACGATGTATTCTGACCGTTCCGATATATTTTAATATATTCGTACACTGATCAAATTGAACAAAAAAACAAATTGCGCGATAAAATTCTCAAAAAACAAATTGCACGATAAAACTTTTAAAAAACAAATTGCACGAATGTGCTTCTGATTGCGGAATCTCTTCAGGGAATTCGTTTCAATTATTATCTCGATCGCGTAATATTGGGGTAACGTGGAGTTTGTACGGTTGACTGATAAAACGCGATAGCAACGCCGGGCTCGCACGACATGTGTCTTTGATGCGTGTAGTCGCGTGAAACACGACTGGTACGGCGTCCGATCTGAAAAGTTGTCCGGATCCGCAGAGCGGAGAGCGACAAACGTCCTTCGCTTCGAATTTTTGTTCCCGGCGCTGCCGCGACGATGTCGCAATTTACCGGTGGTTTTTTATCGGTGCGAGGAACGCGCGTTACCGCACCGTGGTGTGTTCCAATTATTGCACGGAAACGAGCGGCCGTCGAGCAAAAGCGGCGAGCCCGAACGAAACGGATCGCCGTCGCGTTATCCTACTGACACACTTTAGGCACTTCGGTTGTGCTCGGTGCGCGGCGAGCAGACGACACTGTTCTCTCGGTTGGTTCGCTCGGTCGTCGCAGATGCTCGAGGCCTTGGCCAGATTCGCGAAATATCTGCTTCGTTTTTCCGCGGATCGAGAGAGAGAGAGAGAATTTAGCGTTGACTAACCAAAAACGTTGTTTGCCTCAGTCGGTGAATATGGAATTCCACGTTCTTCAAGTTTCCAACGTGAACTTCGAACTATCCATCTGTCATACGTTCGTTATATTTTGGTCCCACGGTTGTTTTATCTATTTCTCCTTGGATCGTGCATGAAAAAAGCGAGTCCAAGCGCGTGCCTCAAAGTTTGAAGTACAAAGTGGAAGTTTCCACTGGGTGTTGTCTCTAGTTACGTCAAGGAAGCACACTGATATTTCAAAATCCTCCGACGCCAGAAAGATAGAAAGCATCAAAAGCATCGACCTAACGAAAACGTCTGATCACGGACTTTTCGGAAAGTCCCGGCTGTTCCACCTTTGAAAGTTCCACTTTCACTCGCAATCGACGGAATCGCGTTTAATCACCGTGGCATGTAAGCTACGGTGCGTGTGAGAACACGTGCCTTCGCACGTCTGTCACTCGCTCGTCCCGAGGAGCTGAATTTCATCCGCGTAAACACACAATGCTTGAAACTTGCTCGTGGAGCACCGATCAATGTACTGGATTGCACTGATCAAATTTAAAAAAAAATTGTACGCGTTGCGTGAAGTTCACTCTACGAGGATTCGCTACTGACTGACCGACGAGCACGTTCTACAGCACCAAGCGCTCGTTTCCCCACCACTATCCCCACCATACTGCCGTAAAGTGTTAACAGCTGATTTAGAAAACACGAGACACCGCCCAGTGGCGGCATCAGCATCCCTATGTGCCTGTGATAAAGTAAAACGAGGAGAAAACAAGATTTTTCCAAAGTAAAATTTAGAATAATGGAGCTCACTGGATTCTGATAAGATAAGATTACACGGATTTGATAGTAGCAGTTATGTTACGCGTCTTACAGTTTTATAGCGAGAAAATATCAAGAATTCACATATTTCTTGCGGGGTGGATAACCCCCTGTCTCTTGTGTGCGCCGCAATAAAGAAAAATGTGCAATAGAATCATTGCGCTACAATATATAAATTCGGATATTCTAGAATCGCCTATCGTCTGTTAATCAGACACATAACGATGAAAATAATTGTGGAAAAATATTAAAAACAAGAAGCTCTTTATTAAATAACTTTGAACAAATTAACTTTTTTTTTTAGAGCAAAAGATAATTTAGAAAAGGCAGCTAACACATAAGACTTTTAATAAGACACAAAGCTCAATTTTCGAAATTAATGTGTAGAAAAACTTTATAAACTCTGAAAATACTAGTGAAGATACTTGTAAGAGTTTTATTGAAATAATCTGTTTTTCGAAGCTATCAACATGACAATTAGGAATATTGTATATGAGGGTTCTGCATTTGAAATTTTTTCGGGCGGACAACTGACTCACCAACGTACGGTTTACGGTCTATTAAGCGTTGTCTATACGAACGAGCACGCGAAGCAAAATAAGCTACTACATCGAAAACTTCAGGCTCTGACGATCCAAACTTTTTGCTAATTTTTTTTGTCGAGTTTCCTTCTTTTTAGAAACTCATGAACTAAAGTGATCAAAACTGGATATAATCATTGGACGACAAAAAGTAAAACGGAAAAACATAAACAGTTTGGTGAAAAACTATAAAACAATAGTGTATAATTTTATGACGTTGTAAATTAAACGATAAAAGAGACGTAAGTTTGAATTATTGTCAAATAAGAATAATACATACATATATCAGATATACAGTACAATGAATTTCGGAGAAAATACAATGGCTCTAAAGAGATAAAGCTCTAAAAATAGATTTTAAAGATAGAAGAATGAAAAAGGTTGAGCGAAAAGTATCGTATCCTCGATGGTCATCGAAAAACATTAACATTCTATAACAATAAATAAATTTTACAATTCTTATGTGATTCGTCGAAGCACAAAACTATCTAATTCACATCAGAGATTTACGTACAAACCGATCACACGCTTTACTTTAGTCGTTAAAATGTGTAAGATTGAAGTTCTGGAAACTATCATCGTGCTCGAATGGCTTATCCTTGACCTCTTGTAAATTTCATGGGACTTGATAATATGGTATTCCCTTTTAATACTTTCGATTTGCTCGAATGATTTCGAGAACTTCCGTGATTCTTATGTTGCATCGAGTGCGTGATGCAAAAAGAGATGCATGAATAATGTAATTTTATCATTTCCGCTTATGATTCAAATATCATATAAATTATAATAAATATTATAAAATGTTAATGAAAAATTAGCATTAGTTTCGTACAATTATTTATAGAATCCCGATTAGTGAATACCGATAATTATTACGCTGTATAAACAAAAAATAGATATATATATATATATATAATTCACTAGACAAGAATTTTAATTCACAACTGTTATATCTTCAAATAGATATTTTGCAGTTTTAACATTTAGCGACGATTATTGTAGCAAAAGATTATAATTTGTAATTATATAGCGTAGGCAATGAATGATAAATCGAACAAAAAATTTGTCAACCGGCACTTTGCTGGTGCAAGTCTGTTCAGAAAATAGTGATAAAAGAAAACTGAAAAGATTGAAAATCGCACTGCGATTCAGCGGCGATATGCGCGACCGATTGAATAATACCCACACAAGTTCGTCTGGAAAGTCTACGTTGGCGGAACCGGCTCTGACGATATCTACTGTGAAAACCCGATGATAATGACGACGACGACGACGACGACGACGGCAATGACAACGACGATGTGGTCGGCTTCGCACTTTTTTTTCGACGTCCTCGTCGAGAACAGGATTCGCGGGTCGTTGTCGAGAGAATCGCGAATCGTAATAATCTCAACATATAATATAATTCTGATACCGTTCGCCATGGCTTGAAATTCTACCACGAAAATTCTAGACGTAAAATATTTGTCTCCTCAAAAATTAATCGCCTTCGCTATTTTCGAAATGTAGCCATTATTTACGTGATATTTTCAGGACTGATATACGAAGGAAAGTAAAAAGGTAAAGAGACATTTTCAATTGATTTAAAAATTGAAAATCCATTTTATTTTTGTCCTAATAAAGGAGAGAAATGAAGAAATCTATGTAAGAAAAAAAACCGAAGAAATTCTTTTAAAAAATGTAGTGCATTATATTGAGAAAAAAGTGTGATATTTGAATTTGCATAGTGAAATAATTATAATCGAGATATCCATTTTTATAAAAACTACTACTATGTATAATATCAGTATAATAATTAATCAAAGCATCTTTTCAAGTTCTATTTATGCGTTTCTCTTTACGTGCCTTTTGCGAAGGCAAACTCTGTTCCGATGACATTCGCTTTCGTGAAATCCATTTACTGTTTACACCTGTTTCGTGAAATCCATTTAGACTCTCCACATAAATCATTTTAATTAAATTTGCAACTTTCTTTTTCTATTACTCACTACCTGTTACACACCACTGTTTGTAAACATTAATAAATAGCTCGGGTAAAAAATTTACAAATAGAAAATCTAGACGAATCACGTAGATAGAACGGGAGACGTGAGGATCGCCAAATAGGTTAAGACATAAACATCTGAAAGGAGACCACCGGGCAAACCACCAAAGCGGTGGAAAGAGAGTTGGATCTCCATCTCTTAAGAGAATGAACTGATTGATTGACGGGATGACAAGATTGTTATAAGACAAAGTCCTAAAGAGAAGAAAAAAAAGAAGAAAATCTATTATGGATAGATGGAAAGTTCAAAATCAATCTCGCACAGAAGAAAAAACGATGCACGATCAAATCATACTACAGGTTTAAATACATTTTAACAGATGGCGGCACGTCGTTTCTTTTCTTGTGAATAAATAATCACTACAGACGTTAAAACCGCCGAGATACGCGAGCGTTAATAATCGTTGGCGTCGGTCCACGATGTAATATCATATTGCGTTATAATACTGCACCAACAATAGCAACGATGATAGTACACGCGACTGCACTATCGTGACTGTCGCACCTTTTTTTTTCTTTTTTTTAAGGCAGTACACACATGCACGTACGATGATAAACAAAATGGAATACTTAATCTAATTATATACTTAATTTAACTAATTAAAAGTTTATTGATAAATTAATTTAAGCGTAATTTATTAATAAAACTGAATCTTTTGATACTTATTGGTATCTGCGAATTCATTGTTAATTAAAAATGCATTATGGAGAGATGCTTCGTTATTATTTGCATTGTTAGTACCGTATCGTATTAAACAAAAATAAATAAAAAAGCACGATATTACGAACATAAATCAAACTAATGGAGCTATTTCTCTCGAAAAAACTATGAATATTTTATGACCTTTTAATATACAGTTTTATTTCCGTCATTACGTAATTTTTTTCTAAGATAATACATGGGGAATTACAGAAATGACGCAATGTCTTTAAGTTATTTAAAGATAATCTCCACATATATATTGTAAAACTTAAATCAGAATGCAAGTGATCAAATGATAAATGAAGCAATAACTTTCCGCTTTATGTAAGTTTGCATCTACTATTGATCTATTGTTATACTGTTATTGCCTTTGAAAATTGGATTATTACAAATTGGATTATTTCAAAATGTTTCTACTATATATCTTTCTATTTAATACTTTTTTTTTGACAATCTAAAACTTACTTTAAACATGAAAAAGGAAAATTGAGAAGATTTTTTATAACTAAATATAGTTTAGTTCATAGACAATTCATAAAAAGATAAAAGACAGCATGTGGATATTTTATACAATTTGCGAAAAACATAAAAAGAACAAAAATGATACCTAATAAATGTTGCAGTCAATATAAGGACAAAGGTCAAAAAGCAAAGAATATATTCAATGGACTAGAATTATTTTCATAGCTCATCGAAGAATTCTACAGATTCCTATCCATCAGAAAAAATTGTGTTCAACAAAATTCCAGTCTTTAATCTCGCGAGCATTGTTTAAAATTTAATCTAGCGAGTAGCAGGGAATAATTTCGCAGTAATAATGTTTGTGACAGATCGGAGCTGAACTGACATTTCTAAAATGACTGTCGGATTATACTTATATACCGGGCACAGTTAAATATAGAGAGCCAATTTACGCAGCGAAAAACGGCGCGAGACGCACATGTTCCCGCATGTGAGATCTCGACGTCGTTAAAGAAATCGCACGCGTGAAAGAATTTTTTGAGGTTTATTTGAAACGGAACGATTTTTATATCGACACAAGTAACAGCGAGTGCGTAGAGCTGCTCTCCCTCTTCGCCAAATCGTAGCGCAGTTTTAATTTTGTACCGTATCGCGTCGCGTGTCAGCGGCGTTATACTGATGGCGCTGCCATTCATTTAAACATTAACACAAAACATGGACATTTGATATTTTGCGCAATCCCCTTTACAGCCGCTCTATATAGAAGCGAAATGCAGCGGGCGATACATGTCGACGAGTTATATAATGTAATATGCGCACAGGTGTCAGTGCGATGATATAAATTGCCGAGCTGAACCCATATCAATATGATAAGCCACACGTCGTGCAATAGTTTTATGCACGGAGAATCGAGACCGGTATAATCTCTCGGCGAGTTTGATTCATCCGTCGCATCCATCGCGCGTCTATCGTCGTCAACAAATGCCGAGATGCCGAGAAAAAGATTTTCGCGTGCCGAAACGCGTGAAACTCAGCGAAATCATATCGGTCTCGATCTCCGATGCAGACGGAGCGTGCACGATCAAGAATAACAGGCTAGACATACCAAATGTCAACTCGTGGGTGACCGTCTGCTCCATGCCGCTGCTCTGTGGCACGTCGAAGGCAGGTGGGGGTGGCGGTGGAAGCGGCGGCTGCATCGCGTTCTCCATCCCCTCTCGCTCCGTCCCTCTCGTGCTCGCGCTCGTTCTTACTCCTTCCCTCGTCTGGTCCTATTGCGGCGCACTTGTCACCGTTGTCGTCGTCGTCGTTTCTGCTAGTCGTCACGATCACGAACGAGCAATGGTCCGCTCAACGGAGACGCATTTCGCGGTTATAACGCGATACGCCCGTTCGGGAAACGTCTCTCGCTCTCCGTTGTCCGCACGTTTGTATATGTGCACACACGTGTGTGTCCGGTCCGTGTGCGCGTATATGTGCAAAAATACGTACGTATATGTGTGTATGTGTGTGTACGTACGTGTACACGCGATACACGATGATACGGAGCAAAGAGGAGCGGGTTTCGATTTGCGCGTGCAGAAGGTGCAGGCTGGTGCGCGAAACTCCGCAACAGAAGCTCACCGGCGCGCGATCTTCGCTTGTGGGAACCGATCGCGGATCCCGAAGGACTCACGGAAGCGCCGTCGACACGCGCCGCGGTTTTACATGATCGTCCTTGGCCCGTCCGATTCGCCGCGCCCGTGGTGCGAACGGACGCAGCCGTGTTACCGGACCCGTGCACGTTTTCGCTACTGCGCGCTCTGCCGCGTCGTGCAGCCGCCACGCGGCGCCGTTGATTGGGCGTCGCGCGCTGACCGCTCAGGCCCGTATCAAAAATCGTGGCGCGGATCGATGAATCAGAATTTTCTCGGAGAACGTTTCACAGCGAACAACTCGGTCGAACGGTACAAAAGACTGTCACATATGAATTGACTGAAATACGACATATTGATTGAGGTGCGCCATACAAATGGTTGGCAGATAAAATGCTTATCGTAAAATCACTTCTGTTATTCGATAGAACTTGTATGGAGCGATACCAACGATCGAGAGACACTTTCACCTTTGTACTTTATCGTTACATTTTTCTTTTCTTAAAGATTGACATTACGAAACTACGAGATCGTTAAGCTATTGTTAAATTTAATCAATATGAAAGGGATCTGTTCGAGCTAGTGCTGTCTTAATATTTAATGCAAGAAACTACATCGTTTGATAATGTGTGTAGATATGTTTCGAATTAAGTACATTTTATTCTGAATATTTAATATCAGAATTGATGATTGAAAACATTAACACATAAAACGACTTAATTAAATTTAGAAGTTATTTTGAATGTAACGGGTGTGTGGTAAAGTACTACAGCCCTGCTCTCAAGAATCTCGTGCGATTTCTTATCGGCACTTTTTTATATCTCGCACGAAGTAGTGTTCAAAGTGTTACAGACGTACTTCTTAATATTATTTCTTTCGATCGAAAAGACAACGCACGTGTACAACCGGAATATCTTTTATGATTCTATTTCCAGAAGAGGGGATCGCATACTACGTTCTCGTTAATTCTACGTATCGATTTTTCCTTATTGATAATCAAGGTCAGCGCGATGCGCGTTACATTATGGTGTGATCGTGGAAAATGAGAGAGAAAATGAGAAAGCATATTACTTTCACATTTATATGTAAATTAAAGAATTAATTTTTAAATGGTCAAATGAAAAAGAATACAACGTTATTTGGAAAAAAATTAAGTAATTGTAAAGAAATCGTCGCAAGCAGTAAAAGAAAATTAATTAATGAACGTCATTTTAAAAAGATGTAAAGAATCCGGGATATCCGGTGAAGTATTATCACTCGGATCTACATTCTCATTTCATTTCAATTAGCACATATTGTTCTCGCCATTATTTGCATTAATTAAAAGAAATATTCTTTGCCACAGGAATTTACCATCTTTAATAAACTCATTGTTCGATAAAGACATTCGTTGTATCTACAAAAAAGTACACAAGATTATTTGTCCTTCGATAGACAGGAATATAACTTTTGTCAGAAATAATAAACATGGCAAACAAGCTATAAAAAGTGAATGAATGATTACGTACGAAGTCATTCTTTTTATCAGTGATTCTGTAACTAATATTAACTGATAACAGTTTCCATACCATGGATCGAATGACATGCAACAATGATATCATTCAGTAATCGTCTTGATAACGAAAAGGACGAAAGTGCGCTTAAAGTGCTTTAAATAACTGCAAAATTTGTAAGAGATATATATACAATTTTAAACTTTGAATTTTGAACGCGTGTGTGTGAAATATCTTTGTGTGTGGAGTGTCTCCATCGTTTACAATTCGCTTAGAAAATTTAGTTTTTATTTGCTAATAGTTTATAATGATTTGTAAGTAATTGATAGTAAATTTTATGCTCTTCAATGAAGTTACGATCGCAAACACCACGCTGAAAGGATTGAATTAATTAAAATAAATTATTTAAGTAGATAAGTGATCGAAGTAGGGTATCAAAGTAGAACAAGAGATAATAAGTTTTTTCCATTCGCGACGCGATTAGATCGTTTGTAAAATTATCTTGCATTTCTTGTATACTTTGTACCTCTGACCTTCACAGCTCACTTGAGTGCGTGCTGGGAACTCGTTCCAACCTGGATCAGTAGTGAGTAAAAAAGCTGTGCGAAAGGTTTTCCTCGTCGTGCGTAAGATGTTCTCCGACTATCTGCCCTTCACGATCAAGTACTTTTGGCATATACTGATTGTCGCCGTGTCACTCGTCCTGTTTAACAAATTCTTCAAATGGCCAAGCGCACGAAGTATGACGCAAGAATTCACAGCATCTGACGAATCCACGGATCCGAGTGAAAGTAATGTCACAGCGAGATACTTGGACACCATACATAGTCGTCGGAACATTCATTCATGGAAGTTATTCATATTTGCCTCACTTTCGGGAAGAGCGGTGCTTAATTTGAAACTGATTTAAAATCTTCAAATCAAAATTATCTCAATTATAACAATGAAATAAATAAAAGTGAAAGTAATTAAGAACACATCGAATAAAGAATACAACACAATGATTTATCAATAATGAAATTTATTTGCAAAACGATTAAAAAATAATATATTGCCCATTAAAGTTACTAAGTGCATTAGTAGGATGCATAATTGTTAAAAAGCTACAATTATGAATTTCGTGATTAATTGATCTCAATTATCTTATATGACTTTTTTATTCTTTTTTCGATGTTGTGAAAAGAAAGATTAAAATTTCGTATTTATTTTATGTAAAAAAATATAAAATATATATGTTATGTAATTCATATTATTTTTTACATAATCATCGTACGAAATACTTACTTTATATCGTTAAAATACTTACTTTATATCGCTTTCTAGAAGTGTGCGAAAAGTTGCTCGAAGAGAATGAAGAGGAGCCTGCATTACCAAGAGACCTCAAGCACATACCGTATCAGTATGTCAGATTATCTGAAAAAGAATTGTTGGCACGAGCATTAGAATTCTATCAACTAGCCGCTGCGAGACGGACTTTAAGATTCTTCAGCGCGGATCCTGTTCCGAAGGAAATTATTCACGAAATTATAAGAACCGCAGGTATTTTATTTGTTGATTCAGTGACATCAGAGAACACATCAAATGATCACCTTTGTAATTCAATAAACGCTAATTGGAAAATGTTAAGCACCTTTAATTTTTACAAGGTGCAAAAGTTTGCAGCGAGAAAAACTTGAGTCTGAGAGAAATTTTTTTAACAATTAGAACGACACTATAAGTGAAAATTTGAAATGTAAATTTTATCATCAATATTAATATATCACAGCGAGCGCTAAGATTAAAATGCCATTGTATTTAAATTCGCACTTTATCCTTTTTAAGTCTCACGTTCATTTCAATTTAGGCACCGCTCCCAGCGGCGCGCATACAGAACCATGGAGCTTCGTCGTGGTGTCTAATCCAACTGTAAAATCGAAAATTAGAAGTATCGTGGAGCAAGAGGAGGAAATTAATTATAAGAAAAGGATGGGAGTAAAGTGGACGACCGATTTGTCGCCACTGAAGACTGACTGGATAAAAGAGTACCTGACTGTCGCTCCGTATCTGATACTTGTGTTCAAGCAGACCTACGGTACTCTGCCAAATGGAAAGAAGAAGATCCATTATTATCACGAGATGAGCGTTTCCATAGCATGTGGAATCCTTATTACCGCCATACAGGTAATATTCACTTTTTCTACTATACAATTCTTGCGAAGAATACCAAATGGATGTGATATCACTTAGTGATATTTTTCCTAAAACGAATCTTGCGACGAAAGATTTTTTTGCGACAAATACGATAAATCTATAAGAATTCTATATTTACGATTGTGCTTGTTGAAAGCTAATATTTATTGAGAAACGTAACATCAAGAGTATCAAGAGATTATCAAAAGATAATGAAGATTAAATGTGTTTGCATATCAAAGAACTTTGAGATATTCCATAGGAAGATGTTTCTTATTTTGGTAATATGGGAATTTACCTAGAATAATCTCGCTGATTGCGTCTCCTTTTCGAATGTATTATAGTGCGCCGGTTTGGTAACTCTTACATCTACGCCGTTGAACTGCGGGCCTGCTATACGCAGTCTTCTTAATCGTCCACCCAACGAAAAGCTCGTGTTACTATTACCAGTCGGTTATCCAGCCGAAGATGCCACTGTTCCCGATTTGCAACGAAAACCTCTCTCTGAGATTTTAGTTGAGATTGACTAGAAGAACATGAGACGCGGCGAATTGATGAGACCATTGCTTTAACATAAATACTCGATACGTTGCAAAATTTCCCGATTTTCTTATCATTTAGAAACCGAAAGTGTGGGAGTATCTGAAATAAATAGTCAAACATACATTTATGTTAGTGTTATTTTTATGAAAAAATGTTATATTTTTCGGAGATACTAACTTTTTTATCTTACATTACATATTTTGTGGATATCAATTATTTACTATAATAGAATATGTAGTATTCCTTGGCTTAAAATATCACTGCCAATATTACAAAGTAACCGTAATGTCCAAAAAAGAAGAGCTAATCCCTGAAATATAGCACCTGTTCGAGTCGTGTCGTTTGTTATATTTCTCTCTCCTGCAGTTGAAAAATGTACAATGGCACGCAATGAGACTGTTCTAACTTAGTAATCCGGTTTGTATAAACTAGTGTTTATTCAAATTTGCATACATAATGTTAAAAATAAGCGATATAAAATGTAAATTCCATTAATTTAATTAAAGAACTGAAAAGTTAATCATAGTTCTTTTGCATGGTGTATATATCTAACACTAATATAATTAGGTCGTAAAATTGTAAAATTGAAACGAGGCTTCACATTAACAAATACCAAATATATCACCACAGTTTCTTAAAATTAAGTACATTCAATATATAAAATACAAAAATACTGAGTTAAATGACGAAGAACATGTAGAATATAATTTTTTTGCAGTTCTGCAATCTGCATATGACAGCTATGTCGCTACTAGTAGCTATGTCATTAAGTGTAAAAGCTTTAGTATCATGATACATACAGAGAAACAGATAATATTCTATTTATTACTATTCATGGAACAAATACTATTAATATTATTTTCTAGAATATGAATTTTCCTTTCGTTTTCGCATTTATTTTTTTTTTTTTTTTTTTCTTCCCTTATGAAGCTTGGTCAGAGCCAAGTCGATAGCGAGGAGCTAAGAGTTTAGTATGAAAACTCGAGATCGCCAAATTTTCGCCGAAATTTAAGCAATTGTAAAAGTTCCGAAAGCAATCAAACTTGGAAATAGTCATTGACTAAGGGTAGAATAGTCTAGAACTAGGAGAGTATTGTCCTATTTAGCGATCCTCGACTAATTCTCTATCGTTCGTTTACATTAGTAATATCGCTGTAAAGAGTATATATATGTCAGTTTCTAAAATGAGCAAAAAATACACTTTATTCAGTACGAATGTAAAATCTAACACCATCGGTAAATCGAACTCCGTCTTTGTCTTTAAAATTATTAATCTCTTTGTTCGTTCCTTACAAGAATCCACTGACAGTCGATTACGACGTATCTTTTATACATATCTATCTGTAGAAGCTATTTCGATTAAATTATAAATACGTGTTTCCTTACATCTTTATCTCGTTGAGATCAACCAGTGCCTGAGATATCTAACGTAGTATGTTATAATAACGTAATTATTAATATCCTAATTATTAGCGGTATTATTAACATTATTATTACCATTAACATAATTTAACGAGGGGAGCAGGAGCTGATGATCAAATGGAAATTTCGTAATAAATAGTAATCGATGAAGTTGACTTTCTTTTCCTTCTCGAAAAATTTGCCGGCGTGTAAATATTATATATAATATGAGTGTGAGCTCGTGAATACTCTCCTAATTCTCCTAATAAGATAACCGCTGCGCCACAGCGAAATGGCAAATGGCTTCGTGACTTATCTATGAGAGTAGGATTTAATCACGGCGATGAAATTCGGCTATGCATAGACGGCAGGACCATGATCCCTCGGGAGGTGATGCGAGAGGTGGAGCCAGACAGTACATGTGATATCCGCGATCACAGTCGTCACAGAACAGCAATTGATCCTATTATCCCCAAACCGTAAAGATTGAGTAATCCAGATTCGCAAAGCGCACAATAGGAAGCGTCGTTTTTCAAAATTTTACTCGACAAATTTTTTCAATTCTCACAAACAGTCGAAATAAATACGTAAAGTCGACTTTTCCGAATAGTAAAATTCCTTTTTTTTCTTTTTTCTTATTTCTCTTATCAGTAAATGTAAAAGTCTTGCTTGACAAATGCACATCATAATGTTAACTTTTCTTTTTTTGCAATCTATTCTTTTAGTGGAAAAATATTTCTGTCCACGAAAGTAAAATGCAATTGTTCTACGGAAGTCCTGCAAAAGGGACTGCGGAATTGTGAAATACTTACATCGTTGTCAGAGGTGCCGCAAATGGAGCAACATTTGCATTCGATACATTGCCACCTGTACTTGCGAACAGAAACGATCATGTTTGCAGTGAATTGCAAGCAAGTTGGATGCCCTATAACAAGAACGTACGCACGTTGGAATACGCATTTGGGACGGAATGAGGATTCTGTTGCAGGAGACGAGTAGAAAGGTGCCAGGACAGTTATCTTGTGCCGAAGAACAGTGAACTCCAAGCTATGGTTTTTTTCCATAAATCATTTATTTCTTTTTTTTTTTTTTGTGATCATATCGCAATCGAATTTTGCATACACAAGAAAAAGAGCACAATGTTTAACAAATTTGGTCCACAAGTACGACTCTACATGTCTTTCACCTTTCCTCAGCACTAAAAACGTCCGGAATAATGATACGTCTTCATGTTTCCGCACAGAATATTTTATTTCGTGATATCTGCAATTTTTTTTTTTTTTCGTTTTTTGATGTTGCATTTTGAACATACTGTTATTATTTGGAATAATAGGTGGTAAGTAATAGCAGGGCGTACCTTGGAATAGTTCACGTTCTTTCTTGCGCAGCACAATATAAACGTCGCAGATGCACACTCTCTCCCTCGCTCCTTTTCTTTCTTTCTCGCATTCATTCTCTCTCTCTCTTTTTCGTCACCCTCTCTCTCTCTCTATCTCCCTTCGTCATACACACGTACACGCAACTCATAACGTATCACATTTTTTATATATATCATATATATATGGCGCCATATATATATTTATATATAACTAGTGTGACTTAAATACTATATTTGTAAGCCTCATTGGGTATTGCTTAATTAAAACTGCCTAATAACAAGTCTTCAATTTTATATATAACAAGGAGGAACTATATCTGCATGCTTCCATTGTTTTTTTTTTTATATACCATGTGAGTTTTTCTTACGACAGTCTAAGGATAATATAATATCATCAATTTATACAAGAAACTGAAACGTAGTACCCTCTATTCTGCCGTATCAGCTATGTTAAATGATAGAATACTCTACGCTGTATGTTATATATAAAGAAGCTGTAACATATCTTTGTCAATAGCCTTTTTTATACTCGAGTTACATAATATATGCATATTAGAAAGTACTTCGCAAACACGAGGCTCTACGGTTAAAGAAGACGGTTGCTTGTCAGCTTGTAAAAATTATCCTAATTACTTTATAAATGGAATATAAAAAGAAACAGCATACACACGTCTACGTGTGCGGGAAGTGAAGTGTTACACGGTTACAACTTATGCAGCCTACGAAGTGTGAATGTGATTTCGTATATGCAAAATCGCGATATATCTAGAATCGGCAAAACAACTCGAAAGTAGACTCAACGTCACATACTACGCCCGAAAAACTCATAAGGTATTACATTGATTTCCATAGACGGTGTTTTGTTTTCTTCCTAATTAAATGATATTTGTACGAGTATCAAAGCTTGTACAAAACTAAGCTAGATGTCAGATGTCTACAAGAAGATATAGTGCCACGGCGTTTACGTGTGACGCATTGTTAAAAAGATATCTAACTGAAACATTCAGTGGTTAAAGACAAAAAAAACAAACAAAAAATCTCTTTATCTCACACCTTCCTCTTCTTGCTCGTTAAATATGTAATAAATATATGGATTATTATAAATGACAATAATAGCAAGGAGCAGATATACTATATTAGGTCGGAGAAGCTAATGCCCACAACTAAAGGTGATTAAGAGCAGCGGATACAATGGAATGTCAGATATATTAGAAAGAAATTAACGAATATCTCTGATTAAACACGAAACAAGATAAACGCGTTTATCTTTACAACAAAATCCGACGACACCCAACGATACACCGAAAACATATTTATTACACATGTTAAAACTCTCGTAAATAAATTCTCTACCTCAGGATATCATCTCACATGTGTTCCACGCGAGGAACATTAATAACCGTAACTCACTAATGTTTGTGTAGATGTAAAATGAGGTCTCTCTCGAGTGAGAATTGCAGAGATTGCCTAAGGGATCAAGCTGTTACCCTCAAAATACAAATTATTTGTCTACGAAACAAAACATTTCTTGCTTATATAAAACGTGTCACTTTACGTCACAGTAAATATGTCTCATTTTCGGAACCTATTTTATTTGGAATTCTTCAAAATGCGAATTACTCTTCGATCGTACAAATAAGCATATATATTGAACACATAAATATCGTTAATACCGATCGAAATTTTTACGACAGGTCAAATGTTGATGATTATACTGATGATTCAGTCAATTTTTTTCTTTTTAATGCAATTTTTATGAAAATCGCGAGAAGTATGGAGATCCTTTAAAATTGCACTCTTCTCTTTCATTATCTTTTTCTGCGCTGCGCTCTTAGCTTGCGTCATCTAAGCCACGTAATACTCAACAAACGCAAAGATACAGAAGTATTTGCAAGCACTGAGAAAACGCAGAAATATTGAAATACGACATCGTCAACATCGTGTTATCTTACAATAAATACGTTGCATTCGTAAAACACGATTTTTCATGATTGTGCTGAATATATAAAGTATATGTATATATTTGTATATATATATATATATATATTGCATAGCATCTAAAATTTCCTTAAACTTGCCGGTGCGTTTCTCACGCCGTGTATACCTCTTTTACTTTTGATTTCCAACACAATAACGTAAATATCGGGATACACTGTCAAACAGAAGACAAACACATCCTCCTCAATACGTGCTCTGGTGGTACTGTGCAACAGGAATTTTAACAAATTTACACATAATTTCACGTAAAAAGCAAACGATCCGTCAATTTCTCATTGGTATCCAATCACACAACACACATACACGATGAAATTTGACTTCTCTCTCACCGATCAAGACTTTAAAGTTTCGTGCTTTCCTCGTGTAACATTACGCGTACCGATTTAATCTTAGAACTAATCATTGAAATACTATAAATCACAGCAAATTCGCGTTGGTAAAGGAATTCCTGAAAATTCCTATTACTCAGATGCGACAAGTTGCACCATTGACAAAACGATGTTTTGTGTTCCTCACCTTGACTAGTGTATGTAAAGCTCGTAACCGTTTGATCTAAAACTGTGCAGATAATTAAATGGTTCTTCCTTAATTATTGCACCCCAAATTGCAACAGCACGTTTCTATTACCCTTGGCGGCAGTGACGAAAAAAATCGCGCCACGCGACAATTTACAACCCTATACAACTCAAAAAGTTACCTTCCCGTCGTCCCGTCTCAACAACTTAAATCACATGAAAAACACTGCAAAAACCGATAACAGGCATTTCTACATGATTCACTGACGCTATTAATGCGGTGTTGTATATAAGAGTGATTTGTCACGCATCAACGGAAAGGCAAGGGTCCTCTATAAGAAATTAATACAAATAACGGATAATGCTAAACATCTCGAGTGCGTGCTTAACAATTATATGTACGTTTGGAATATACGAATGGAGAGCAGCGATCCTCTTTGCGTAAGGAAGGGCACGTACGCTTGCCTGTCGTAAAATTAACAAATTACTTAATATCTTTCACGACATTAACAGCTCAAACATGGAAGCATAAACAATTATGGCGTAAACACGTATATATATACCCAATATCCTCCGTAACGCTCGGACGTCGGCCATCCGATTGCCTCAAATCATCATATCGCTAATTGTAAGTAGTTCACTAGTCGTAATACGATCATCTCGGTCGCGTGTGTCGCGAGGAAGCGTACTCAAGATTGCAACAAGCTGATTTCCTGATCTGCTGTTTTTTTTTCCTTTTTTTCTCTATTTTTTGAGTTGTTATCTGGCTATGTGTATGCACAGGACGCAGTTCGCGGTAGGCTCGCAAAGAGACATAGAAAATAGGACCGTTCGCAGGACACGAACAGCTTTCTCTCTCTCTTCTCTCTCTCTTTCTTTCTTTCTCTCTCGCGCGCGCTCTCTCTCTCTTTCTCTCTCTCTCTCTCTCTCGCTCTCTCTCTCTCCCTCTCACTCCGCCGAATATATCGATCTCAGCGTAATACGTGACTATATGATTATCATTATCGTCCTCGTCGTTACCGTCATTACCGTCGTTACCGTCATCACCGTCGTCGTCGTCCGGTAGTCCTCGCGCGCCGGCGACAGTTCGCAACCGAGTTAATTGTGATTCGCCCTCCGGGTGTACTTGCGCTTGATCTTTTCCTCTGGCTTACCTGAGCGGCCGCAGTCGCTGCACGACACCAGCTCCTCGGATCCGCCGGTCTTCTTGTTCTCGCGCGCGTCCCCCAGGCAGAAGTCGCAGTACGGGGACGGCTGAGCCGCCGAGGACTTGCCGCCGGCCTTCTTCTCCGCGTTCGGTCCACCGGGCGTGGGCGGTCCGCCCGCGGATCCCGTGGTTTCTCCGGCGAGCAACGGGACGGTGCCGCCGGGTGAGGCTGCGGTCGGCAGGTGATCTTCCTTGGGCGCCGGGATGGTAGGCGACGCTGGGCCGACAGGCGTCTGCACGGTCGGCGGCAGCTGCTGCTGCGGCTGCGGCGTCTGGGACGCCGCTCCCGCTGCGGGCGCAGCGGTAGGCGTCGCCGGGGACGGACTCGACGATTCGAGGAAGTAGCGCTCTGACGACCTCGACGTGTACCACCTGATCACAAACCGACCAACAAACCCAGTTGCGCTTTGCCACAAGCTGATGACCATGCACACTGGCTTTATATATATATATATATATAATAGACAATAAATTTGTACTCGACTTTCTTTTTTTTTTTCTCTTTCTCTGTGAATGTCCGTTCATAATCGATTCGGTTACTGTCAAAGTGATCCGCAAGGGCGACAAAATGGAACGGAGTGGCAAAGAAAGTCCTCTATCGTCGTGTTGCAATTGAAAAAAATGTATAAAGACAAATTTATCGAAAAGATAATATCAGATTATCGTGTTGAAATGATTTTTGATCTTGTGAACAATAGGAGAATTGAGTGTTTTGGAAAAATGAATTATGATTATCAACAGAATTTGTGCGAATAAAATTTCAAGTTGAATTGAAAAGATATTTAAGACTAGAGAATTGAAAAGTTACGAAAGAGACAACGACTTTAAATTGACGAAAGAATTTGCGAATGAAATTAACGACGATAATCGGGACATTTTGTACATGTAATGCAAAATTATCTGTAACACCTGTTTATATACAAGTATAACTATACAAGTATAATAAATTATACGTTTAATATATACAAATAGACAGATTGTAAAGCCCATCTTTTTGATTACGATTTATATAACAGAATCAATTATTCTAAACTTCACATTATTGAACAATTCGTTACAAAGACAAGAAAAACAAATTATGATTATATGTAGGTATAATAAGTGCAAATATGTCAATCAGTACATTCCATCACCAGCAGCAAATCGAAGATATATATAACGATGAGAAATATCGATATTCAATTCAAAGTACAGACAGGTACAAACAAATAGCTTTTCAAACAATTGGAACTACAAGTAACTTCAAAAGTACCTATTTTGTTTCAACGAAGCCTCAATGTCCATTAATAGGAGAATCGAAGCCAAAATCGCTCTAAAAGGAATAATACAAGCAAAACAGCAAAGAAAAGAAAAATCATTATATTGTTAGACTCATTCGTAAAAATTATAATCATGCCGAAAAGAATACGAGCTACTAATAGAAAAAAACACACATACAAAACGCTTAAGAGTCATAATCGCGCGCACAAAAAAAATGTACCAACATATAGAGCTCAATAATCTCTTGTCTCTTTAATATAAGATAAAAAAGATAAATAAAATTATTTCAGTATGCTATTGCAGAAGCATGCTACTGCAAAATAGATGCAACACAAATAATCATTTCGTCATTCTCTGTAAGATATGAGAAACATTCACATTATTCGATATGTAAAATATATAAGAAGAATATTCATACACAATATATCGTAATCGTAAGATGCAAAATTAAATTACTTATATCATACTGTCTTGAATATTGTTTATCCGTATGATATATGAATAACTTGTCATAATACAGTTAAACATTAGAGAAGCGTAAATATTCCACATATACATACTTATTTTGAAGTATAGATTTAAAATTAGATAGAAAATCGTCACGCGATATCTTATTTGCAACGCATGCATTTGCAATACACACAGATTTTTTTAAAAAAAGTATATGTATATATAGTATATATATATATTAGGTTATTATATCGGGGAAAATTTTCGGATGAGTAGTTGCATGACCAGGAATTATCTTTAAGATTGAAGACGAGATGGCAAAAATATGAGGGCGCGGGACAAAGGTTGTGGGCTGAAGAATAAGGAACGCGAGCTTAAAGGAAAGTGAGAAAACTGAGCTGATTTTGGCTCCAACCTGGCTGGTTCGAAGCAGCGGTGTCTGCAACACTCCTAGGTTCAACTTCGGCAGGACTGGGACTTAGTTCCTTAGCAGGATCACCGGAGGAAGTAGAGTGGGAATGACCGTAATGGTAGACCAGACCAGGTCTGGTCTTATACCGTGCGCTGCATACTGCAAAAGTGCAAATACTGTTTTCCCGCAATCCATCCAATGCAACGTCCAATGATAAGACAGACCTTTTGTTTAACGGACGATCAAAGGAAGTAATACGGGACAGAAAAGCTGACAAAGGGGGTGGGGGGGGCAAGGGGTCGGAGCGGAGGGCTCAGGGATAGCATTTGCACACCTTCCGTACCAGTACACATCCCTATCCACCTACGAGTCTATAATGTGGACAAGCAGTGAAGGAGTTCCAGCCCAAGAAGCAAAACTAATACGATGCAAGGCTTGATGCTTGTACTCCTACAGAATGAGCTCGCTACAGTGTGAGCCAGTACATTCTTGCTCTGTTATTATTGCAGGTAGAACTAGTCCGAAGATATTTGGGCCGGTGACATTAGCTCGATCGTCAATAGGCGAGTTCAATCTTCCGCCAAATTTCTGTTCTTTAATACGAGCTTACTGTAACCAGACCAAATTTCTTTAGATTATCTGCTAGTCTAACAGGAGTGGTTTCAAGAAGTAAACAGATTGCAGGCACATTCGAGTTAATTCATAGACTTTGTGTTTGGAAAAGTTTGACCAAATTAGTATGACTATTGTACTCCTTCAAGAAGGTAATATCAAAATTGTTCGAAAAATTAGTCCAATTTTCTTTTAATCTCTCTCTATTCTCTTTGTTTGCTTGCGCTAGATACAATTTAATTCCATAAATTTGCGCATAATAAGTATATAAATGAGTTGCTTTTCAATCCACGCAATGTTTCGTCAGTATAAGAGTTAGAAGCTTTAGACTTTCTAAGATTTTGTCATTATGGTTTTTGAATGTTACATGATGATTGTTGTAAAGTGCCAAATAAAGTTGAAGCATTTGATTCATCTATACTTGCTTGTTAGTAATTTATGTTTTTCTTTTTTTTATCAAAATAAATTATCGAAAGTTATCAAAAGTTGTATGATAAAATGTTAGAATTTAATTAGACTGTAATGCATTAGATCTTTCATTTTAGTACAATGGTCGAATAGTTATGCCATCACTTCAAGATGTTTGTGCGAAACTTTCAGATAGATCTTTCGAATTTTTACATTTTTTCTGCAAAATATTTAAAGAGTATAGATATAAAATACATATACTATTTATGCACAAGTTTTGGAACATATGACTAATCTTTGCCTTGCACTCAGAATCATACCATAACTGCTCATACTAAAGTGAAGAACAAAACAAAATATAAGTTTCTCTCGAATAAATAATAAAAAATTCTTATACTCGAATTTTTGTAATATTATTTAAATTTCAATTTCAAGAAAAACATCATTACTGATTAATTTTTCTGAACAAACGAGATAGTCAGTTATCAATAGTAAAAAAACAAAATTAATAAGCATATCCTCGCATTATACAGTTTGCTATGTAATTATATCACCACTGTCTTGAATACGAATATTCAACAGTAGCATTTAACAATTTATTTCGAGCTTGCATCTTATTTTATATCATTATCTAGTTTCTGTGTTGCGCGTGGTGTAATATACGGCCGTCATATAATTGTAGAATGAAATTAAAACGAAATTGTAACGAAAAATTTATATGTTTATAACTTATTTCAAAATTTCAAAACAAATAATAATAACAATAACTAATAATAGTTATAATAAACTAATAACAGGAAGATTGGTCATTTGTAGTTATATCTATGATTAAACTTACGGTCACAAACGAATGGTTTATCAGTGTCGACAGAGTCATAGTTGGCTTTTTTACGCCCACGGCCTCCGCCCTGCATTAAACAAAATCACATTATTTGTATATACAAATTTTCCACAAATTTGTGAATAACATGTATATAAAATATATGTGATGTGTATTATCACTTTAAAATATATTCTAATTTTTACAATGCTGTATTGATATATTTTATATTCAAAATGTCTATCCACAATCATGTGTCACTTACCTTTGTTCTTTTGCCACCTGGACTATCAGTGGAAGGTGGATGACTACGAGCAGGATGATGACCACCTCCACGTGTTTTTCTACGTTTTCGTTTACTGCTATAGCTCTCTTCATAATCATAATCGCTATCAGGATCAGGTTCATCATAGGGATCCATGTCTAACATATCTTGCTCATCATAATACCAAGCATCTTTACTATGTTCATCTGAAAGCATTCATTTTTAGTTATGAGAGTTTAATAAAATAATTAGGTTAGATTACATTCAATAACCTTAATGATCTTTTTATACTGCAATTTGACATCCATTCTTGTTTACCTTTAAGTGCTACTGAATCTTTGCTATCATCATTTACATGTGTAACAGCCTCAATGCCTTCTGTTCCATCTTCTGTATCACCTCTGGGTCCTCGTTTTGGATGCAGATAATGCATTAAATATTGTCTTCGTTTCTTCCGCCATCGTTTACTTGGATAGGTATAAATTTGACCATGTAATAAACCTGGTAATCTTTCCCTCGAGGACATAAAAAGTGCAGAATGATTTTGTGCTACACCTGAAATTTTACACAAGCTTGCATGTTATTGTGTGAAAACAAAATCATATATACATGATACCTCATATATTGTTTGGATAAATGTTTACATACAATGTTTACAATTAATCTAATTGATACACTTTTAATATCTTTACCTGTTTGTGAATCAAGGAAGGGCATGCGAAGACGTCGTTCCCGGCATAATCGGCTATTGTAATTGGAAGAATTTTCGATGGCTTCTCTATAAGCTGTGTCATTGAGGAAGCTACAAAAACGATCGATAATCTCCGTTAACTCTTCTCCAGTGTGATAATTACAGTTGTGACAAAACAACACGAAGAATACGAACCTTTCTATTTTACTTAGATTACTTTCGTTCACCACTTGTATTAATCCACTGTTATTGTGAGATATAGCCGGAGAAATTGTCAACGCGGTCATTTTGGAGCAGTTTAACTCCTTGGCGTACTTAACGTACCGCTTGGCCTGGCTAAGCCTTCTTCCCGGAAGTAGAACTACGATGATCAAATGTCGCACTCATCTACCAACGAAATCAGAACATCTTTAGCTACTAGTTAAAATAATATTAGCGACAAATATCACTAACAATACGTAAAATTATTACAAAAAATAATTATAAAATCATTATAAGATAATAAAATTATAAGATTACTATTTCAACAAAAATTAAATTTTTTTCATAGCTTATGCAAATTTTTCAAGGATTTTTAATTTATATTTATAAATCTATAAATACGATGCCTGTGATTCTAATATTTAATTAAATATTTCATTATTTCTTGTACACATGTGTTTTATTACAAACATTTTCACTTACTATAACAAGCCTTTTTACAGTATCGTCATCTAGAAACGCCATAAATGTTTGAAAGTTATAAAGCGTCCATTGGCTGCAGGTAACAAAGAAAACTATATTTTCTTAGTGGCAGTTGATAAATTAAGTTTCGCTAAAAACAACAATCGATAAAATAAATTTCTTATTTTTTGATCAAGTTTGATCAACGAATGTTGTTTTCTACTTGTTACCTGCAAATGCACCGTGGCGTTGAGAGAAGTAACGGCGTAACACCCGGGCAGCCACCTGTCGCGCGCATGAGCACACCGCACGTCGTATCAGGACACCTCGGCGAGGATAGCCCGCGACGGAGCGACCGTCAGTGTAAATCAAAATGGCGAGTGTGACGATGGTTCGCGACGGCTGGCAGCGTATTTTGACCGTGCTCGCAATTTTCTGAACGGGACACACGTTATAATGTGAACCACGTGATTCGCGTGAACACTCGCGGCGACTGTAGAATCGACATTCCGCTCGTCGGAGGAGCCGTGACGCTTTTTTCTACAATATAACATCGTCCATCCGCACCAGTGCGACCAGACGTCCGCAGACATCGAACACCCTTCTGTTTCGGTTGATCAACGGGGTGACATCGGCGTGTGAAATTTCCCAAAGCTAAAAGTAAGTGTTGAACGATTATTTATACGTCGATACACAGATTTTCATAGCGTAAAGCAACGTTCATTGCATTGCGAGGTTTGCGTCACAATGTTGTGCTAGCGTGCATGGAGTCCGCTCGCTGTCAACGTGACACACCGACATAAATACTGTCGTGCCGCTTATCGACTCATGCTTATGCACGAGGTAAAAAGAAATTTTGCGCTACTTCGCCTTCGAATATCTTATACAAAATACAATTGGGTCGTAAATTACTGAAGTACATTTTCCTGTGTATTATCAACGTTATATTTACAAGGACTTTCCTCTCGTAGATTAAAAGATAATAGAAAAAAAGAAAAAACATACTTTCTCTTATTTAACTGTTTTCGTTTTATTTTATAAACAGGATGACAAAATAATTGATAAAGTTCAGAGCAAATCTTAAAAGAGAGCAAAATAAATTAATCATTGAAATTGATAAATCTAATTTTTGTATATAACAAAATTTTTTAATATACAATTACTTGACATGCAGTAATGCTAAGGAAATGATGATTAATGTAATGTTTAGAGATAAAAAGAGAGAGAGAGAGAGAGTTTTTACAATGTACTTGTTACAAGGTTTAATATCAAGTGGTCTAATTATTACCTTGATTTCTCGTTGAAATCTGCGACTTTATCGAGAAACCAGAAATAATGGCGAGACGATTAAACATCCCATAAATATTGAAATTACTTTCCGTTTGGCTCGCTTTTCGTTATGCCGGGATTTCTCTGAAAATTACATCGTCGTGTATTGATTTATACCGTTGTCGATGGATGTGCACGTTCGTTAAAAAACATGACACGCGTCGAACACAGCAGAACTTCAAGAACATGTACACGCTTGAGCTTGTCGCTGATATTCGAAGATGAATCACGAAACAATACTCTCGCATACATCTGCGTCACACTTTTCAAGTATTCAGGAATATTATCTCCTTATATTTTCGCTATTGAGCGAGATTTTATTTTATCGTCTTTATTCTGCTATTGTACCGAATATACATAAAGTCGCACGTGTCAAACAATTATTTATGATTTTATAATTATGATTAATTGTTTATTGATTCAATCTATTGATAATTGTCATTGTAACGAGAGTACAATAAGCGTGCTTTCAACATAATTATTCGAAAATTCACAGTACGTGATTTTATTTAAAAAAAAATGATCGATTAAAAAAATGCTCGAAAGATCTTTATCTATATAAAAAGCTTTCCTTACGATACATTACAATTTTTGAAAAGGGGACAAAATTAGACTATTTATTTTTATTTGTTTTTGATAGAGTTCATCCATTTTTAAAATAAAGTGTTATATAATTAAAAACAAACGGAATTTACTAACTATTTGCTTACGAGATTTGAAATGTTTATAAATTGTGATATATTTAACGGAAATTGTAAACTCAAAACTAGGTCAATTTAAACGATCTGTAAAGACGTTCAAGGACATCCCAAGAAAGAGGACATGTCCTCGAAAACTAGAACATCCGGTTTAAGTCTACCCTATTTCTATCATTTTTATATGTATATCATTAGTACACAATTTTTTCTAAAGTAAATAAAACAATATTTAATAACAAATTTTCTAGCAAGATTCTGAAGTTACTTACGTAGAAATCTTTGAAATAGTTGTTTGATAAATAATAAATGTTTTTTAATATTTACATATTAATGATAAAAATTTAGAAAATCTTTAATATATATCGAATAAAACTTGGATTTATATCGTCTCTCACAGAAGTTCGAGATACCATTATTTATGGGTAAATTGTAGCATTGTTTATCATCGTTGCGCATTAATGTGCAAGAATATTCGAAGCATCAATTTTTTGTTTATATTTAAATTTTTTTATTTCTAGTTGTTTCCTTTAAATTTATGTCGTAATCAGCTGGTCCTGTGGCGCAACGGATAACGCGTCTGACTACGGATCAGAAGATTCCAGGTTCGAATCCTGGCAGGATCGAATATATTTTTTCCATCTGACTTTTTTTTATGACTCACTGCATCTTGATGAACTAGGATATATTTTTCAATTGCGTAACACAACCGGTTACATGCGGTATGCAGCCAAGCGTTGCGTCGATACAGTGTATTGGGAAAACAGCAGTAACCAGATCTGAATATCGACACATCGCACATGTCACGTAATCGAGAAATTTTTCTAGTGCCATTATTATTGTAATTAGAGTCGGCATAACTAGTTGCGCTCTCGATGCAACAATTAGTGTTCGTAATTAAAGCGGAAATTACGCGGCGGATATTTCGGAGCAATGTTGAATTATATAAGGTAACACATCACGATGATTTTTGGTTCTTATTTTCTCGATGAATCACATAATTACAAAGGAGCGACATTTATAATAATAAAGTAATCTTTTTTTTTTCTCTTTTAAATCGTTAATTATTGTAATTGCGAACTTTGCGAGAACAGCTGTTTATCTTTCATTAAATCCGATTTTGTAACGAATGTATGTGCCTCGAGTCGTAATGAAATATTGGCAATAATTATGAATCACGATAAATTTAACGAATCCGCTCAGATCGCGAGAATTTATTTGCAAATTTTTTGCACAATAACGCGTCGGTGTATAAAAAAATCGCAATCATGATTGTTTATTTTCCGATGTAGTCCAGGTAGAATAGTTTTATCTGGAAAAGAACCAAGTTTCAAAACGATTTTTTTCCAGATGAGCCTTTTTTTGTTACCTATTTCCTGGACTAATGATTCTATTGTTAGAACAATGGGTGCATCGGAACGTAGGTCTAAACTAAGCTCAACCAGGAACCGAATTTTTCACAACACGAGCAACGAGTCCTCCGGGGAATGTCCAGAAATAATCCGCGTTCCGAGCATGCCAACTTGACGCGAGTGTCCACTTCTTTTTTTCTTCATGCTTCAAAGTGCGCCTCGTGTACTTGCACCAAAGAAATAGTCGAGCGAACAAGGTGTATTTCGAGATAAATTCTTTTACTCGTCCCCGTGATATCTTGAAATCTGATACTTCAAATAAGTGCCGGACGTATTGTTCGTTTCATGGAATTCTATAGACGGTGAATTCTCATTTGAGAGGCAAAAGAATTTTTCTTAGAGAAGAACATGCAGGAAAACATATAAAAGAAATAAACTTAGCTGCCTTTGTAGAGTTTTACGTAGATGAAAAAAATATATGCAGATGCATGCCGGATAAGTGCTAAAAATATAAATTTAAAGTTAGAAGAAGTAAGTATTCATTAAAAAGTTATTCTGCGGAAGTTACGTGACATATCGATATCACTTCTATGAGAAAGATCTGACATAAAAGAAAAACTTCGTTGAAAGTATTAATTATTCATTTAGAGATCAGAAAACTTTAAAATTAAAATTGAGATTTTAAGTTAAAACTTTATTATCTCTTTTTCTTGAGATTATTTTTAAACTAGTATCAGAAATTTCAAATTTATCCTGCGTATTTCACAAATTTTTGCATAATTGTAACATAACAATTTGTATAATTATTCGCTCAGCTGTTCCTTTGATGTCGTCCGCAGTTTCCCCCGAACTTCCGTCGAGGGTCGCAAATTTCCGCACAGGAAGTCTCTATTTCCTCCGCTCACCGTGTGAACGACCGGAACGAGTCCAAAGTTTACGTTTTACTTTCGTGACATCCTCTCGTTTGCGTAGCATTCGGACCGCGTCGTTCGGAATACACTGAACGTCGATCGAAAAACCTATTGTTGCTTCCACGGCGGCGCGAATCGCTATCGAAGAAATATAGCTAAGTGAAAGGTGTCTCTTCCCTTATTTTCGTATCATCTCGAGCTTACACGGACGTTTCGTACATATTTCATATGTAAAAGTTATGAATATATATGAAACTGCTCACAGTATGGTGCAAATCTTTTTTTAAAAAGTAGAAAACGCGGACGAATAAATTCTGCAAGATTTTTCCGCTATTTAGATAACGGATATAATAACGGACATCTGTCGTATATTTTTCCACGCCGAGGAATAAATCACTAATCAAAATATATTTGCCAAATTTGGAACTTGAACTAAACGAAAAAAAAATATATCAAACTCTCATTAAAATTCTTCTGTCTAATCACGCGAGCTGCAATTTTCTCGCGAGTGATTCACGCAAGACCTATCTATGATTCTATTTCTTCTTCGATAAACGCGATTTCTTTTCCACGGCGCATTATCGTAGCAGACGCGTTTAAAGGGAAAGAAAGGAAATCGCCGACTTCTCTTGATTATCTCGGTTTTCCTTTGCGCATGATGGAGAATCAGTGTGCTACCAGCCGCGCCGAGAAACAAGCAACCATTCTCTTTCTCATAATTGCACCTTTGCTCTCCTATCATTTCGAAATATCAGCACGCGCAAGGAGGCTTTTACTTAAGCCGTGTAATTCACTTTTGTATGCTGTACATTGGGATGCAGGAAGTGCGTTAACAATTTTCGTCAGAAATGTGCGTACATGCGCGTGTAGTGTAGGTCACGCTGTTGATTAAAAGATATCCATCACAGGCTTCGCGTCGCGTGACCTACAGAAGCGCGACTGCTAATTCTATTAAATAAATAATTCGTTCAGCACTACGGCTGAGCTGATTTAAAGTGCACGGAAAAAAAAGTAGTGTTACATCAAAGCTTATATACTCAAATTAACGCGTTCATTGTTTCGTATACGCAATAATTTATAATCTTCCGATAAGAATTTAATAATCTTAAATTTTAACAATACTATAGTCTTATTTCCATTTTATAATGATTACTTGAAGAATACAATATAATTATTTTGACAATAAAATCTTCCATCTTCCTTTTATTTGAAAAATATGTTATTTTCTAGCCAACACATTTTTTCTTTTCCACTGAAGAAAATTATTCTTAAATAATAAGAATATTTTTTTTTGGTTGAACTATATAAAATGACTTCATTCAAACCAGTTTCCTTCGTTTAAAGCAATATAATCTCATTTCAAGATTTTCATG